AATTGCGTATTTTAAAATTAATTATTATTTATTACAGCAGTAGTTATTTTAGAGCTAACCATAATCGCTTGTTTCAAGAGTTATTTAAAGTATGATATTATGTTAAAAACTATTTCTGTGTTTTGATTTGGATCATTTTTCTCTTAAGCCTGATCTACATAAGAGAAACGCAAAACGCGACTCGCAGGTCGCAAGGTTGTTGCGTCAACCAATCTCGAAGCGTCACTTTTAAAATTGACGCATTCGATTGGCTGACGCAACACGCTTGCGACTCGCGTTCTGCGTCTTATGTAGATCGGGCTTTATGTAATTCTTCTTTAGAAAGTACTTGTATCACTTTTCCTGATTAAAAGTCGATATATTTAGAATACAATCCGTACACAATGCATGAAATTCGAAAAATTTCGACTTGCGTCATTTTTCTTGCGGGGAATATGTGTATTTTGTGTTTATCATTATCCAGATGGCAAAAAACTATATAGGGTGTTAGTCACACACTTTGTGATCGAACTTTTTTTGTCATTTTGTATTTTTTAGTTAAAATCTACAATAACAATTGAAACGTGTGATTTTAGCGGTTGCAGTTACGAAAAAATGAAATTAAGTTTCTCATAAAATATATCATATACCGACACATGTGTGTTATGTACGTGCGACCTAAATGAACATTTTCACCAATATTTGACCAATAATGAAACCAAACTCCAAAGACGACGAACTATATTATATATAAGTGTGTAATATCCGTCGATGGTTGAATTTCAGGGCAACTGCAGCGTGTTCACTCGGGGTCGTAGCGTCGGTATTCTATCGGGCGGTCTCGCGCTGCTCGCGCTGGGTCGGCTCAAGCTTGTCGGCAGTAGGCCGGAATTCGCGAGCGCGGACAATCCAACGGCGAGGCATCCGTCGCGACTGACGCGCAGTCTGACGTTCCTATACCTCCCGGCGGCCAGCGCGAGAATGTTACTGTGCCCGAGCACGCTGAGCTTCGACTGGTCTATGGACGCCGTGCCGCGCATAACGAGCCCATTCGACCCACGGAATCTCGAGTCTGTGTGCCTGTACGCCGTTCTAATTGCCGCGACATTCTGGGCAGTTAGAGGTCTGCGACGACCCTGCCGCGACTCGACGATGGGCCTATTTCAACAAACGTATCCACGATCGGCGTCGTCCAGGTGTCCCGTGTGCGCCGGCAGGCGTATCGGCGGTTGCCATACGGACGGCTGTCGGGCGGCGAACAACAATAACAACAGTCCGTTCGGCGATTGTCATTGTGCCAAGAGACCAAACAGCAATGCTGGCGTGAACGGTGGTGTTAACGTCGGCAGTCGACGAACAGCGGCCACCGCCGTTGCCGTTTCCCTGGGCTTCCTTGTGCTTCCGTTCCTGCCAGCGAGCAATCTTTTCTTCTACGTGGGCTTCGTCATAGCCGAGAGGATACTGTACCTGCCCAGCGTGGGCGCCTGTTTGGCGGTCGGCGCCGTGGTATCCGGATGTTACCGGATAGCGAGAAGAAACGGGTCCAGAACACGCGGCAGAGCGGTGCTGTTAGGGACGGCGATTCTCATCGGCGTGTTGTCAGCGAAAACACTCGTGAGAAATGCCGACTGGAGGGACGAGGAGAGCTTGTACAGATCCGCGCTGCACGTCAATCCTCCGAAAGGTAAGCGATCGCTTAATCGAAACTTACTTACGAAAGTCGGAAACACAATGGAAAGCACAGGAAAGACAATAGGAGCAGGGAATAAGAGATTTCAACCTGGTTCAGAAAGCACACATTCATTCTATCACACATGATTTCTGATCTTGTAAGTCGAAATTTCGTTCTTCCTGTTTCTATTGCCTGGCTTTCCATTGTGTTTCCAGCTTAAAGCTGACAATAACACACAATAGAAACAGAGAACGGACGATAACGAGCCGTCCAATCAGAGCTCTAAGTTCGATATATGCATGACAGTGTACATATATGTATATTAGTGAAAATAGCAGACACACACATTATTTTGTAAATAATTCAAGGCTGTTTCTCGCATGATTTCCCCGAGTTCCTAGAAAAGTGAGTCTATATTTGTGTAATTCTTATGTATGGTATACTGACAATGTGAGAGACACGCAACATTAAAGTTATTTACGTTCGTGATATGGAAAAGACAAAAGTTATTATCGTAATTGGGCACGTTATGGTAATTTTAACCAACTATTGCAAAACATATCAAACTTTACATAGAAATAACGTCTATGGCGTTGATTTTCTGGAAAATTGACTGGAAAATATTAGTGACATGAGTGATGTAATTGAATTGTATCTACGGAATATATACTATAGAATATATATTATAGATGAGAATACCAGAAACAAAAGACAAAGAAAAATATATATTCAAACAAGCAACCGTCTTTTGTCTACATGCAAAATTCTTCGTCAATAGCTGAATTATCATTATAGATACCGCTGAGGATGACTCAACCAGGGTTGGAACATATAGTGTAATGTAATTGTATAGAATTGACACCACGATTAACCCTTACCGTACTAATATGGGTAACTAGTAACTGAGCGATTCCTGTTCGTGCAAGTTTCTTTTAGTCTTTCGGTAATTATAAATTATACTACATTTTATTGTTTTCCAAAATAAAGAATCAATATTTATTCTAGAAAGTTAAAAGTATGTTGGTGAATTTTTAGAAATTTTTTGAATTATTTCGAAGAGGTGAAAAAAACGAAGACATTCTAGTGACCCTTGATGGTATGGTTGAGGCACCAAATTGTAGATGGTACGGTAAGGATTAATTGTTAGAATAAATTGTATTGCGCTTTAATTATCGCGCTGACTCCTTACAGCCCTTTGTCTTCACAGTCTATTTTATTACTAGTTTATGATTAACTGGATTTATAAGTAAGAGAGAGAGAGAGAGAGAGAGAGAACTAATCATCAATCGCTTGGCGAGTACGTTAACTGCTTTGTCGGTTTGAACATGTTGCTGCAGCTCTAGATGCAAGATCCGTTTGTTTGTGTCTAATGTGTATAAGATTAACTAACTAGAAATCGATATTTCGAAAATCAATAAATATCAAAGGAAAATCAATTCCGGTCAACGGGTCTTTTAATAATAGAGTTTCATCTGAGTTCTGTGCGACTATGTGACGTTCGGTAGTCCAGTGACTTAATTTCTTTCATATTGGTATTCTAATAAAAATTTAATGTTTTCTAGTTGAGTGGTATCGACTCTTTTGAGTGAATAACACGTTTGAATGTGAGCAGCAAATAGTTTCCTTATTTTAAAATACAACTCAAAAAATTAAATTTCTCAGTAAAGAGAAAAAATCATTTCTCAACTTAATAAAAATATTAACTAATCGAACAATCAGTAAAAAGAGTAGACTCTTAGAAATATGATCGAATATTATTTTTATCATTTTCGTATTTCTCGTTTCATAACTTTGAAAAATTGTGATGATTTTACTTTTTTACAAAATTATAATAAATCCGGAATAATTCATTAAAAGTGATATAATTTGAAATACAGGGTTGGAAATAACGCGTTACTTGTAACGCCGTTACTATTTTTGTTATTTTTTTTTTCGACAACGATCGTTATATTTTTCTGTCGGTAACGATAATGTTGTTATATCTTTACAGTAACAGTAATGAAATCAGCCGTTATTTTATCGTTATTTAAATCGCTTATTATCTTTACAATTATTCAATAAATCACATTATTTTTACGTAATTGGTTAGAAATGTTTTATAATAGAATTTTAAATATCGAAAAATGTTTTATACTTTATATCTTAGGCTGTATTTCGATATTCATTGCCAATACTGAAAATCTGTAATATAGATATACAATATATAAGTAATGTGAACTATAAATTTTCAGTATTGACAGTGAATATTGACTCTTGATAATGACATTAATGTTTAAAAACAATGTTTAATAAAAATTTTTAATAAAACTTGCATTTATAAATTACAATTTAATTTTCTAAAGATAAGCATATATTAAAAAATAAAATATTAATGTAAAGAATTATTAAAGATTTATTATAGAGAAATTAATATAAAGAAAAGAAAGCTCGCTGTAAGATTGGCTTAGAATTTTAATATCGATATTTTCATAATTAGTATTGATTATTAGATAATATAATGGTTTAATTTAATATTTTACTTTCACATTACAAAAAAATAATTATAAAGTTACGAATCGTTACTTTCTAAGTTACGGTAACGCGTTACTCTTTTATAAAGTAAGGTTCCCAACCTTACCGAAATATCACCAACAGTTTCTATCTAGATCAGCCAAATAAAACTATTTCTTCTTCAAACTTCGATCACTAAAACTGTCTTAACTTTAAATGTTCCCTTTAGAAGACTCTACTTTTTATTTACAAAAACAACACAACTTAAATATATCACTCTTGTAGAAGATAATATGATCTCTCTTGAAAACCTTGAGAACGACGAGTGCTATTTGGCGGATGTATTGTGAAGTTAAATTCGTTTACTTTTGATGAGTAATAGAGTAATTTTTGCTTAACTTATTCATGTAATAACTAGAAAATCATTTTTTTTTAGTCGTGTCATTTTTGAAGCAAGGAAACGTATGTATGTACATTCTTGACTTTTATCCCCCACACCCGGACGCAACAAATGTGTATATATGTATACGTTAAGTAATAAACAAGAACAGAAGAAATATTAAAATGCATCTGACAGTTAGTTATCATCAAGTAGAGTAGCTACTTAAAAACTCTTACTCTTTGCTGAATAATGTATTTTTTTAACGACCTGCACGCGATCATACCCCGCACATAGCATAGGTCCGACATCGTCTCAATATCTCATGAAGTATCGTCATCGCCGATGACATTTTTATCAACTGCGACCATTCCGCCGTCGACTACGAGCCTTTAAATGCATACGATATCTATGAGGACGTCACTCTTTATACACGAAGAGTCGTAAAAAAAAGGGAGAAGAACAACCGATGTCCCGTGCGTTACCGCCTCGTCGGACGGATTAAAGACATAAAGATAAAGTAAAACGTGCCGCGCGCGCGCGCGCGTTAATAATAAAATAAAAAGCCATTGCGCGTTGATCGAAGCCCGATAGGCGCGTCACCGCAGCAAAATATACGACCATGTAAAAGTGAAATTCCCTGCCAGCCGGCGCGACGTGTATCGCGCGCGCTGTCTGTTTTCTCGTTACAACGCCGCGCCATGCCAGGGCCATTGTGGCGCCGACGCCGCCGACGCCACCGACGGGCATGTGTTATCCCGTCTGTTCATCTTGCACCTCGACGCGGGCATATACCTGTGCGCCTATACCGTGTCCATAAAATCGGAAAGAAGAATACACGGGGGGTGCAACGAGAAAAAAGTCTACAACTCATCTTTTTTTCTTATTTTTTCCCTGCACTCCTTTTCTTTTTCGCAATTTCTCGGGTCTTATACTCTTATATATTTCGGTGCGAGTTTACATATGTCTTGACTCGCAGACATATACTTGCGTATGCGAAAAGTACTGATTTTATGTAGAGGTAGAATAAAAGAGAGTTTTGTTGAAAACTTCTTTTTTAAAGTAATTTTAGCGTGAACTCTCAACAAACTGATTACAAAGTAAATTTGTCGGAGAGATTTAAATATATTGCATCTTTACTATATACATTTTATAGTATACCTTGTAAAGATTAATTGTTTTTACTTAAAGAAGTCAAGTGAAAGTAGTTGAGTTTTCATATCTTTAAATATAAGCTACACGTACCTATATAATTCTTATTTCCAATAATTTCACAAGTACATTGGAGAGATTATATTCTCTACGATTATTATATCTCTTAAATTATTCTCTATGCGCGCACGATTGCTTAACGCACTGAAAGATTAACTATTTCTCTCCCTCGCTTCTTCCAGCTGTGCATATCTCTCATATTTTTAATCTATCTGACGGAAACGTCTTATGCGCGCCAACATATACGCGCGTTAAGAGCATACGCGAGTTTCTCGTTTCTTCTCATCCGTCGGGTTTTCCCTTTAATGCACCCTTCTAATCCGTCCTGACCTTTTTTCACCTTTTATCCACTTTCATACGGCGCTTATCCTCCACGGTATACTTTTTCGTAATTATTTTAACTTACAGTCCCGCGAACGTAACTGCTCTGGCCGGCTTCTCTCTCACTGCACTGCCGAGAATTTTTGTTTCGTTTCTGTAACGCGTTTCATCCGCGCGATACAACGCGAGTATATTGCCAGAGAGACGCAACGAGTTCCTGCCGTATTAATTTGACCTCTTCCATGACTGTTGCTGCCTATATTTTCGCTGTTTTATTTATATATATATATATATATATATCCAGTATATTGAAAGCAATTTCACAACGTTTTCCTATTTCGTATATTAAAAAGTGCCTTGAAAGTATAAACAGTATGATCTTTTTGCGAATAAATTTACAAGGGAAAAACAAATGGATATTTGGTTTTTTAAACTCGATACACAAAGCAGCGGCCGTACTCGTATAAGTTACTCCATTCTTCCTTCATATGCGTACTCTGGAGCGCCATCCGTCTTTGCCACTTTTTACACTCTATTCGCCCCATTTACCTTCGTGATAATCTAACGATTGATTGCACGATTTAATCTACCGGACAGTAGTTCGTATTAATTATACCGCATCAGCGCTGTATCTGTTCAACGTTATCGGTGGCATTGTTATTTTAAATTTTGAGATTACCGTATAAACATATGGAGAAGTTGGATTCTCATCACATTTGTTACAAGCCATTACAATATTTTCGTTATTATATCGCTTTCTTACTTCAAAAGTGAACAAACTTTGACAAAAATCGTCACAACTCAAAAAAGGTGTTTTTTTTTTAGAGTTATGAAATAAAAATAACGAAAAAAAATTATATATATTATATATTATGACTTTGATCACGTCAAAAATATATAATTTTTATATCATTTGATATAATTTGACTAGTCAATAATTTTCTGTCAAGTTCAAAAATAGTTTTTCCCCTGGGAAACTTACAGTTTTTTAAGTTGTGTTAGTTTTGAAATAAAGAAACGATATATCTTATTAAAAAAATTCATCTCAATTTGCTGATAATATACGCTTATCAAAGTTTGACACTGAGAAAATTCACTTCTGTATCTCTCGACATTAAAAAAATTAACAATCCCAAAGTTACTCATCTTAATTCTACGATCCAGCATTTGGTCTCGTGAGACGATTTCGTCTCTGCTCTCTTGGAATGTTTCCCATTCCCACCTAATTTTCATCAATTATTTTTTATGTCCCCGCAAAGGGGAACAGAGATGGACAGAGAGACGGGTGACGGGTGACGGGCGTAGACTCGTACTACTCGTACTAGTAGAGCGGACGGTCACGCGAGCTGACGCCGACACAACGCGCTACCACCGGCGCGGCGCGGGCGCCAGCAGCGACGTTGCAGCGCGTTTTAATTGCGCCGACAGAAATTGCGTGTTACCGTGTTAACAGGCTGCTCCGCTACGAGAAATAAATTTACATTTTGTTGGTTCAGAGGTCGCGCCGACGCGAACGCGCTCGCGTATTCGTCGGACGATGCATCCGTGCTCATTCTCACCCTTCCGCAGGCCCTCCCTCCTCTCCTTCCTGGATTCAACAGCCTGCACCTCACAGCTGCGTACATTCTCCCCTTTGCACCACTGAGGCCATGGAGTCACTCTACCGTCAGGTTGACGTCTACACGTTGATTTAACACGCGCATATATACATACATACATACATCTTCAGTACCGTTTCCCTCGGCTAACTGCGATTTCCACTGATTGCACCACGATAATGTATCAATTGTAACTGAGTGCACGTATAAAAAGGGTGCCAATGAGATTTAAAAAATATATTTGAATATTTCTGTTACTTTCATTGATTAACATTTTTAATTGTAAAAAATTATTTTTTTTAACCCTATCTCTATAGAATGCTGTTACATACCTATTTATTTCGTTCATTAGCCAGGGAAGATGCCAAGTACGAAAATATTCTTTGATTTTTACGAATATTATTGCTTTGCATGTAAAATAGAAAGGAGAGTATATAAATATTTAAGTATATTAATCGTCGCGAAAAATGTGCATTTATCTGATAAAATTATAAATTCAATTTCAAACACAACAGTGTTCGATATGTGCGATATTATATCGCAGTTGCTTAATTCCATTATGAAATAGTCTTGTATTTTACATGCTTTGGATTTGCCAGAATTAATATCACTCAAGTGGCAAAGTGTTCTGTGCAAACTGCACTTCTCAAATATTGCATAATAGCGCTGGAAGTATAATAACTATGAAAATATTAACCTTTATGTCTGGGAGGTGATGTACAATATATAGGCGTAGTGTGCGTGCGCGCAACATGTAACTATGTTCCTGGGGCACTTCCTGCTGATCATTTAACGAGTTGAATATTCAACTACAAGCGAGCACGTAAGCAGAGAAATGATGGGCGGGCGTATCTTGATCGTGATAATTCTCAAGTAATTGCCGCTAGGATAATAATTAACACCGAAAGCGTAAGACGTATTTCGCACCTGTGCATCGTGCCATCCGTTAATAATTAGCTTGCTGCCATCAGATTCCTATACAGACACCACTGTTATTGTATTCCGCTATTATCCTCTTTAATCATCCTTTTTTTTTTTACATTTCTCAAAACCCATAAATTTGTCGTGTTTATCATCTTATTATCTTTTTGTGCGAAACGGACTCAAATAGTCGATTTAATAGTTCCTTTTATATTTGATATTTTGCCAATACTTTACGAGATGTTAAATCAAGTATTTTTTTACATTGATTCTAGCTTATGGAAATTTGGGCAGCATTCTCAGCGAGCAGGGGCGAGTAGCCGAAGCGGAAGAAGCGTTCGTTCAAGCTCTTCGCTATCGACCGAACATGGCAGATGTGCACTATAACTTGTAAGTACCACACTCTAATTCAATCCATATTCTTCTAATATGCGTTTACATTTGTACAATATAACATACATGATACATATGAACCGTATTATGTATCAGATACAGGCACCAAAATAATATTAACTAGAAGGAACTTGATATAATAATTTAATAAATATTGCAATGAACAATAATTTTTCGAATCTGCCAAACGAACAAATTGCAAAAGAATATTTTTTTATATTTCGTATAAAATTTATTTTTAAAAAGTTTCAAGAAATTTTTAAACGAAAAAGTGTTTTAGGAAATCTCTTCTCGCGGTATTGGGAGTTGAAAGCTATATTAGCTTCAATAGATACGTCTCTATAAGGGTAGATTCGTCTCTTAAACCTCTTTTTATAAGCAGTATAGTAGTCTAAAAGTAGTCCGCTAAGTACGATTCAATGAAGCACGAATGCCGGTAAGAAGATTACCAACCGATCTCCATATTTGACCGATTAATTCCTCCCCGATTTTTCCGATCCGCCGCGATGCGAAATATATTTGCTCGCGCTAAGCCGATCTGGAAAGAGAGGGCCCGGTGGGAAAGCTCTGTTTACCGCTGTAGTCATATCGGGGAACGGCCACGAGCTTCTTAAGCACATAATATCGGTCAGCCTGGTCCCACGACCGTGCTATCTCCTTTCTCATGACGCATCAACGACTTCGTACAAGGCTTAGCAAGGATGGCCCTGAGAGAACGGCTGAAAGTCCTCGGGGTCCTTCGATCGGCGCTCATCATCTTTCGACGCTCCACCTACTGAAGGTGGGAAAGGACGTGGAAGCCTGTCAAGCCGTTGAGTCGATAAGCCTGCCTACCCTCTGCGCGCTTCTGATAAGCCGGCTACGTGGCGCATAGTATGTGCCACGTACTTGCCCCATTATGTATCCATGGACGTCTTATTGTTAGTATGGCACCCCTGCTGGCTAAATTGAACAATCGATATAGGAAGCAGCGTATTAATCGATAGTGCATTATAGCGATTAGAAACGAAGTGATTTTGGTATGGGACTAAGTAATAGAATAATCTTCTCGTATCATTAATATATAATAACACATATATGCAGGGCATAATCAGGATTTGGTTTATGGTCGCGGACAAATTTAATATTGAGATTTTTTAACTCGGTGGAGCGGGGGGGGGGGGGGGGGAATAAAGGGATGTGGACCATTGAACTTGTTTTATATTATTAATTTTTTATTAATTACTAGCATGTACATACATCGCATAATTACACATATTTAATTTACTAATTTATTTTGTTTTTCCCTTAAAATTGTAAACTGATTCTTTAAACTAGAGAAATTTAATTTTAAAACTAGGGGTGCACTGGATATCTGATTTTTGACAATATATTTGGCCGAAACTTTACATTGAAATGATGCGTATAATGGTACGAATACCTAAAAACTTTTATTATCACTGATATATTTTTTAGAAATATAGTACCAGATGTATGGCAAATATCCGGCTCCTTTAACTGATATTGTCCAGCTAAAACATTCTTAATCGCTGTCACAATATATTAGGATCAAAATAAATTAATAAATTCATGCGCAAAATATGCCCGGCAGAAGTAATATTTTTCGCAATAAAATTATATTTACAGATTTTAATATGTCATTCAGCATTATTAAGATCGTTTTACGATGCTCACGAGCATCGAATTGTTAAATTGCTAGTCAATTTAACTTGTGATATTACTACGATAGTTCAGTGGAGTTTGAGGATCAGAAGATCAAAAAATCATTTCGGCGCACAGTTTAAAAGATTACATATACGTAAAATATAAATTTATACCGAATTATTTAAGCACCACAGATCCAGTTTCGATCGTTATGGATTCTATTTCCTATTAGTTGTATTTTATATTGGATTTTTATTTTTTTTTGACAAAAAATTTTAGATTTTCTATTTCATAATATTTTTTGTGGAGTGTGTTGTGTGAATACTTTATATATTGGTGGTACAATTACATATTTATTATTTACATTACCTTAACTCAGGCAGTTTGAAAAAATATTTCCGGAACATACATACGAACGTGTGAAATCATATTTACTTCGTTAAGTAATTACTATACACGCTACTTCAACGAACTGAACCAGCGTGCACTGTGGCTGCAAGCGGTTACAAGCAAATTCCGGTGAAACCGCTCGTCCGTTCAGATAAGCCACACCCGACGTTTGTCCCTTCGTGGCAGTGACGGTAATACCTTCCAGGCCTTCACAGAATCAGCTTTTAGAGTGAAATGAAGCGCGATGTAATTACCTATCACTAATCCTGTGATAAAGGTCGAAAAACTCTGCTAGCATCAGAATGTTAATGATAATACATCTATCTATACATATGATTCGAAATTAGATATTGAAATTAAAAAAACAACGTGAGAAAGGAATTGTAGGATATATTCTACACTCAGAGAAAGAGACACAGTGCAGGTAACAAAAACTGTAAAAATAACTATATCTCTGGTGAAAATTGTTACTAAGATATTGTGTTTATATCACAGACTTCTCTCTACTCAACTAGACTGCCGGCTCAATATGATAGAAAGAGATGAACCTGATTCCGAGCTGACCTCGTTTTAGCTCACATATGCGTATGTATGCGTCCTGTCTATGAGTATCGCGTGAACTTGTGAAAACACTAACGTTATTATCCGTGTGGTTTATATATGGGAGAGTGAGTGAACACAAACATGGAGGCGAAGTCGACAATCTATTTATAGAATATAGTTTATATCTGTTTATGAATAATTTTAAAGGTGACTATATTGTTTATGAAGATTTTTAATGATAATTATACTGTTTATGGAGAGTTTTATTGATGATTATACTATTTGAAAACACGTTACGAGTATCTGATAAACATCTGTTGATTGAACATTTTACAAACACTTAAAAAACTATAATAGAAATATCGGAGACTATGTCATTGCCACTGATGATATATTTTATAAGAAATGTTTTGAAAATCCTCGGTAGTTTAAAGACTTAGGATGCTCGTACAGAATTCAAGAGATCCGGGTTCGACTCCCGGCTGAGGTAATATTTTTCGCAATAAATTTATTTACAGTTTTTCAGTACATTAACATCTTTGTATTATAGTAGAATGCCAGATTAAGCATCAAATTATGAAATTGCTTATCAGTTTAATTTGTGATATTACTGTAGTAGTTTGATTGCGTTTATATAAGTTTGAAAGATCATTTCGGCGCGCAGTTCAAATAATTACATATTTAGTATATAAATTCGCATAGAAATTATTTAAAAGCATTAAAGATCCATCTTTGACATCTTTGGTATAGGCTTCCAGTTTAGACTCCGTTCGGAAACATCACCCGAGTGCTCCCGCGTATTGTTTTATCCTTGTTGTTTACTCATTGTTAAATAAGGATAAGATGATACACGGAGACATCCGAGTGATGTTTTCGAATGCAGCCTTATTGTTTGTGTTCTCACATGTACGGTCTAAAATAAGATTCTTATCGTTTTAAAATATTTGAAAATTTCAGCGTGCATCAAAACAGTTTGATAACATCTTTTAAACCTTGTGTTCGTAAGTAGAGACATGCACAGCCAACAGATTACATAGCAAAGTTAAACTTCTCGTAAATAAAAAACGTCTGATACCCGTTTCTACTAATGTCGATTAACTTTAATCTTGGTTTAACTTTCTTTTTATTCTTTTCTAATTCTTAGAACTAGAAAAAAATAAAAAGTAAGTTAAATCAAGTTAAAAATTAATCTACATTGGTAGAAACGGGTATAAAATAGAGAATAGGATAAAAGCACAGCACTATGAGATTGTTCATTGCATGTTCCAGCAAAATAATTTCTTGAAAGGATATGCCCAAAATTAGGATTAATTAAAGATAATAATAAAAATATATATAAGTGAAATGTTGACTATGTTTTAATAGTCATACAATTTTTAGTTTTAATATTTCTAGAACCTTGTTAAAAAACAATAGAGGGAGATCGTCGGTAATAGGTATCACACCGCTTTGTTTTTCGATTAATTTCTTAAATAAAAGCCAAAAATATAACTTTAAAAATATAAATACGAACGAGAAAACGTCTTCAGATGATATAGCAGTTTTTATAATACTGTTTGGAATTTTGTAATAATTCTCTCGTAAGATAAGCAAAAATGAGCATCTAAAACTAAATGAGTATCTGAACAAAAAAACATCTGAAGAAAATGTTCCTGTTCTTTCTTTTTTACAAAAATTATCTATACAAATTACCTACAAGTTAATATACCTACATGAAAAGTTATAAAATCCTTTTACTTTGACGTAAAACATTTTTTGTTGATATTTATAAATTTACTTTATGATGTTTTGCAAAACGCAAACATATAACATTATTTTAAAGCAAAGGGGGTTTTCGTAAACACAGTAGTGCCTTTAGCTCCGATAGAGCTATTTTATAGATCGATGGTCGACTTTCGTTGAATCCTGATTTTATGTTTATAACCATACTGTGAGAAAAATAAAGATAAAATAATTTTAGGAAATTACAAACATGTTAAATTATTTAATATTATCAATAATGTACGTATTGTTATTTTAACTAGGCAATTTGCAAAAGAAAATTATAAGAATTTTATTTTCGTATTCATAGAATTTATTTTTAATTTCTTTTATATAGAAACGAGTCACAAATATATAATATGAATGGGGTTTTAACTTCTTTAATCATTTAAATAAATCATATTTTTTATCGCGGTATTAATAAAGTGCAATGTTTAGTTTCCAAGAAATAAGGGGGTGTTTTTTTGTAGAAGACCTATGTCACACAGTATCGGCAATTTTCCCCTATTTATATTTATTGAGAGTTCATAAGAAGTTTGCTTAAATGTTGAGTAAATATGTTTCATTTAAGCTTGAAAATATTTGTTGAATTGTTTATGAAATAGAAATTTGGACATAGTATTTAGTAGTAGTTTGGAAGATGTTTACGACTATATTTG